CAAATCTTTTGACAAAATCCATTAGTAACAAAAACTTAGTACTAGAACAGTAGAACTCTCCTCCGTGACTTCAATGGCGTGTCTAACCAGAATGCTTCGCTGCACCCGTGCGGTCTCTTCACTGAAAACCTTAGCGTCCCCTACTCCCCGCCTCCGTCCCTTACCCTTCAATCGTATGGTCTCTCTATCTTTATCTCAATGTTTATGAGCATAATTCTCACCTATGAACTGTATTTAGTAGTTATGTCTTTCAAAGATTATTATTCCTAGAATCAGTGTATGTTCATCTAAGAAACTGACATGGTGTCTTACAGATTTGAATGTTTTGCTATTGATCAAGTTATATTTGATGCACAGAAAGTTTTTAAGTTTGTAAATCGATTCCAAGACTTTCAACCGTTTAGGAATGAGGGCATGAGGCATCCATGAATTTCACCTAATTTAGTTTGGTACATACAGAATAGGTGAATTTCATAGACAACATTATTTCTGTAATTCTCTCTAAAGTGTGCTCATGGAGAGGGGCGGAGTTAGAGGGGCAAACCTAAGTCCTGGTCCACCCCAAATTTAAAAAAAAGTTTTAAATTTTAAGTTAAAAAATTTTGTGTATTTTTTTTTTCTAAAAATATTCTTTATACTGGCCCAATCCGGCCTAGTGACCTGGCTCCGCGCTTGCTCATGGAAGTGTATCAACACTAATAATTCACTGATGGACGACTTCTTAGATCTTTTTAATTCAAGTGTGATACCTGTAAACGAAAGCTAGTCCAATTTATATGAAAAATAAAAGAGCCTCTCATAGTAAATTGTTGGATTGATGTCTCTCTGTGTTCCATTTGGTGAAACACGTCTCCCAGAGTCCCAGTTCAGGGAAGTAACAAATCAATGTGGCAAACTGGCAATCTTTGGATAATCCATGTTTCTATGGGAAAGTACAGAAAGTTTATGCATTTGGTTACGTTGTTATCATCCATAAGTTAATGAAGTATGTTTTTCTTTTGATGTGGGTTTGTAACCCAGAGGGAACAAGCACCAAGGTCATTCCTTTATTACCTCATTCGTTTTTGAAGTGAACTGTTATTTCAATGGCCAGATAGAGGGATTTGGAAACCAGATGCCTAAGTGTAGTTCTACGACCTCTGTCTTGAAATAGTAGTCTGCACTCTTATTAAGAAGTGCACTTGAAAATGAAAGTGCATTGTTGCAATGTACTACGTAGGTTGAAATGAGTTAAAAAATATCAACCACACATTTCTTTCATAAATAGGAAACAAGAAAATCCTTTGGTTTTTGAGTTGACCTAAAGGAGGATTATGAAGATTATTTCAGGACATATTGAGTAACTTTTATTTACTATCCGTATTTTTGACTGACAATGGATTTTATGCATATCATGTATCTACTTCATAGCAGGTCCTTTTGTGCATCATATACACATGTCTACGTACCAAAGTTCACGTTCAGGATCAATCCCCGGAGTTATGGTTCCAGCTGTTTTGGCTGGATTTCTTGGAGTTGGATTGCTAGATGCAGCGTCTGCAGATTCTAATGAAGTATGTTTGCATCAAGGTTTCTATTTATCAGTAATCTGTGCAAATCGTTCATTTAAGTTTAGCTCCTGTAGAAACTAATAGCCCGTTTGGCAGGGCTCAAAATGACCGCATATGCTAAATTATGTAAAGAAACATTTTAAAAAGACATATATCGAACTGCATATTCATCATCATCATTACCCCAGTGCCGCAAAGGCTCCCACCTACGGTGGGGTAAGGGGGGGGGGGGGGGTCGGATGTACACAGTCGTACCCCTGTACTAAAGCATAGAAAGACTGTTTCCGAATGACCCACATATATCGAACTACATGACAGAAAAAATTTAAATACAAGCAGAAGCATTGACATCAGTCGTTTCAGCCCAGTAGGTAACACATGCGCTACTTTTCAACTATCATCTGATTCAGCTAGTGCTGGAAAATAAGCTTACCAAATGGCTTCTAAAATCTAAATGTACTACTAAAAGTCTAAATCTATCTACTCATAGTAAATTCTTTAACAGTTTTTTTACCCGATGTCTTTGGAGATTTATCACTTTATCTAGGTCCATTTTATGTCCTAGGTTTACAATATATATTCAGGTCCTAATGGAATTTATATGTTCCAGACCGCTAGTGGAAATTTGCCGTCAGGACCCCTTCCAACAACAAGACATAGTGATCTGGAGGAACTTGCTATGAAAGAGAAGAATCGCCTTGGGGAGTTGATCAAGGACAAAGGAATGCTATTTGGTTCTTATCCTCGTTATACTGTTGCAGTCAAAGGTCAAAAGGTTTTCTTCCGCTTTTATTTTATCTCCCGTCTCCTAAAAAGTCGCTGGTCGAGGAACTAAAATAAACAAAATTGTGTTTTATGCTTTTTTTGTATCTTTGCCTATATATTAATGTGGGTATCCTTGTGTGTGTTATACATTTGAGTATGCATTTAAGCTAATTTATTGCTATTTCAGATCGTAATCAAGTTTCAAGTGCCTTCAACATGTGAAATACCACTCCTACTCTCAAAGCTTGTTTCAAGCCTTGGTGTTAAAATTGAAGGCAATGGTTCTGGACCAGATATGATACTGCGAGCATGGGATAGGTTGATCAAAACACTTGTACCTTGTGATAATTGTATTCTTTATCCTGCCATTATTATGTCTTTTGCTGTCTTTTGCTGTCTTTTGCTTGAGCATAACCATGTCCATATCCAATCAGTACTATTAAGTATTATTGTGGTTTTAGTAACTTTTGCATTCATCTTAAAATTTTTCCTGCTACAGTGGGATTGCCTGGCAACTGATGCTAAGCCGTCCAAAGAAACGAAACGAAGCTGTTGCAATGGAAGGGAAAGGAAAGGAGACAAATGCTAATGATGATCTTTGCATTCTCTTTTTCCGTCCAGTCATCACCACAGACAGACCTGTCTGTTTCTACTCTATTCAGTTGATCACATGATCATCTATAAATATTACATTTCCTCTAGCTTTTAGATAACTTATATTAGCTTCTATTATGATGTTCTTTTATTTAGGAAATTGAGTTCATGAAGCCTGGCAGTTTTACAAATGAAGAACTTGATACCTTAGTATCTATATTACAATTAGCAGGACATCCAAGAGCTATGGAAACTAAACCAAGGGGAGATGCTGCAAATACTCAGTCTCCAAATAAAACTGTTTCTAGTCTGGAAGCCATGGGAATCAAAATTTTTGGAATTAATGAGTTGAACGGTGATAAAACAAAAACAGAAATCTCTTGGGAAAGTATTGCTGGATACCGCTATCAGAAAAGGTAATATAGAAGTGCACTAGTGCATGTGGTAATTCGTAAGTTGTAATTGGTTGTAGTGTTTGGAGAACTTGCCAATGAGTTTAGACTTTAGACTCAAGAATGGAATTTTTGTAGCCCTTTTTTTCTGATGGAATTGAAAATGACTTCGCATTAGATTTAAATAAATCCTTAACTCCAAGAGATAACATTGGGACTTATATTTTGCTTTATATATCAGAAACTTTATATATATCTGGATATTTTTCTTAGAAGCTGGCTAATATATGAATTGTGTTCTCAGAGAGATAGAAGATACCATACTGCTAGCTCTGCAGAGTCCTGAAGTGTATGATGATATTGCTCGGGGGACAAGATGCAAGTTTGAGTCAAATAGGCCTAGAGCAGTTCTATTTGAAGGTCCACCAGGTATGACCTCCACCTCATGACATTCTTTTATTTTTTAATAAGCATTGCTCCTAGCTTAAATGGTTTTTACTCTCAGAATCAGAAACAATTTCGAGAAACCTGTAAGGAAGAATTCGAAACATGAAAGGTGTTACATGATTGCTGAGTGTTCTGTTCATCTTCAATTCTGTTTGTTATCACTTTTAGTCATACCAAACTCCACTTGTACAGCACTTAGGCTTTGTTCGGTTGGAGGATTTTGGACGGGAAGGGAGGCAAGTGAAGAGTTGTGTATTTTTGGATTGAGGAGTTAGGGGGGATGTGAAGAAGCTATATGAAACTCAATCCTCATATCTCATTCTCCCAATTGGGGAGTATTTTGGGAGAGTTTTTGCTGTTAAGCTCCTTCCTTTTTTAATTAAAACAATATTTATATGGCATGCAATATTTTTACTTTTTTCCAAAATACTAATTCCTTTCACTCCCATAATTGAAGCAAACATGATCTATTTTTAACTGCCTACAATTTTCTCCCCTCCTCTTTCCACACTTCCTTTGAACCAAACAAGGGCTTAGGCCACAGCTCTGCTTTCAGGTACCGGAAAAACATCTTGTGCTCGTGTCATTGCTCATCAAGCGGTATGATTTATCTCACTTCTTTGATTGAGCTTTCCATACCTGCTATTTTATTGCACTTTGGTAGATTGACCGCTGATGTATGGGTTAGGAAAAACTAATAGAGATATTTTCCAGTTTTCTGGAAAACTGGAAAACTAGAAAACAGAAAACAGGAAACGTGTTTACCAAAGAAAATTGCTGGAAAACTGGAGAAAGAAAAGCAGAAAAACGCGTTTACCAAACCGTTTTCCAAAACGAAAAAAATGAGACATGTCTCTCTTTTCCTTAATGATTTGGAGAAGTGACTTTTACTAGTTTTCCAAATTTGGAAAACGCAGATGCTACATGCCGTTGCAATGAATTTGCATACTTACACCAAGTGGTGGGTCCGGTCCCGCTCCGATATCAATTCCATTCTAGTACCTCCATCCTCGTACCTTACCCCTTACCCCTACCCTACCCACCCAACCCCCACCCTGCATACCCCTTTTCCCTACAATGACCCTACCCCCACCCCTTACCACATGTCCCTACCTTGGTCCCACCCGATCCACCCTACCTTACCGCCACCCCCGACCCACCCTACCCTACTCCCACCTCGTATATTACCCCTTACCCCTACCTTACCCCTTCCCACATGCCCCCTACCTCGGCCCCACCCTACCGCCGTCCTACCCCCACCCTTGTAACCGCCATCCTACCCCCCACCCTACCCCTTCCCCTACCTCGGTCCCACCCTGATCTCGGCCCCACCGTACCTTCATCCTATCCCAACTCCCTACCCTACCCCTACCTTACCGCAACCCTACCCTACTCACTACCCCCACCCTAACCCACCCCACCCAACCACGTACCCCTAGACCTTACCACCCCACCCCCGACCATACCCCTTACTCCACCCCCACCCATACCTTCCTTCCCTACCCCGACCCCTACGAATAGGTATGGGTGGGTATGAAGGGTTTTAGGGGAGTATGGGTTGAGTGTAAGATCGTGGTAATGGTAAGGGTAGGGGTCAAAGGTGCGGAATTGGGTGTAGGGTGTAGGGTGGGGGTACGAGGTATAGGGGCAGGGTAGGGGTTAGGAGTATGGGTACACGTACGAGGTGATCGACCCCATATATTATATTATATATTTGTGTTCATGAATGTTTGTGTGTCTATATATGTATAGGGTTATTTTGGACATTTTAATGTTAAACGGTGTTTTAAACCTTTTGAAGTAAACATGATCTATAACATTGCTTATTTTATGCGTCGCTTATTAACGCGAGTCCTAATAAGCACCATTTAGTAACCTGTGAAGTAGACGTGTCAGTCTTCTGACTTCTGGATGATCACAGAACTGGGTGAAAAAATTGATGAACATGTTTTCATATTTGAAAATGGAAAACTAGAAAATAGAAACAGAAAACTGAAGATAGAAAAATTGAAAAATAAAAACAGAAAATTGGAGAACGAAAAACAAAAGTAGAAAACAGGAAAATATCTCCGTTAGTAAACAGGCCCTTACTAACACGGATCACAAGTTCACAATGTATTGTCAGTTTCATGTCAATATTAATTGAAATGATATGTGTGCCTAATATGTGGCAGGGTGTGCCATTGTTGTATGTGCCCTTGGAGGTCATAATGTCAAAGTATTATGGTGAAAGTGAACGTTTATTGGGAAAGGTGTTTTCTCTGGCAAATGAACTTCCAAATGGTGCAATTGTATTCCTAGACGAGGTAGATCTGATCATTCTTTCTCTAGCATTTTTTATTTTCTTGTTTGATTTATAATTGTTTTGTTTCTGCATGAAGGTGGACTCTTTTGCAACTGCTCGTGATGGTGAAACTCATGAGGCTACACGTCGAATTTTATCAGTCTTATTACGACAGGTTATACTATAAATACCAACATACAAAGTAGTATCCGTAGTCTGCTAAATGCAATGTGAATTAGAATATTGTGCTGTTAGTCATACCTGTATGGTCAACCCTTGTTCCCTTATTTTATCCGCCTTTGCATTAAGTCATATTTTTCAGCAAACACGTTATTTCATTGTTTCCTGAATCTGATAATAGGAAAAGTAGTATAGGTATTACGTGTTTGGCTGAAAAGAAAGAGAATTACAATTTTGCTGAAGTTGGCTGAAATAGCTGAACTAGCTGAATAATGAAAATGCTGTATTAAAAATATATTTTCAATAAGAACAGATATTATAACAAGATAGAAAGCACAGCGAAGAAAATATATTTTCATCATCATTACCCCAGTGCCACAAAGGCCCCCACCTACGGTGGGGTGAGGGGGGTCGAATGTCCGTCGCCTTACCCCTGTGCTAAATCCCAGCGAGACTGTTTCCGAAAAAACCCATAGTGAAAATCGCGTCGAAAATTGCATGGACCGACTACTGCTTCATAACAAAGAAGCGCAGACAGTTTAGTGATCCATTTTGCTTTATTCTATCATATTTCAAAGCAAAAAAAATAGTGAGTCTTTGGCTCCATTGCAAATGATGGAAAAGGAAAAAAAAACAAAATGAGCACTATTTAAAAAATATATTTTCAATAACAAAAATACAAAATAAAGAAAAAATTATTTGAAAAAGTACCTCCAACCTTACTTATTTTCATTACTAATTAATTCAATAAGTGAAATTTAAAAAATGTTGTTTCCCAAAATATCTGACCAATAATTCACAGAACAAGGAGACCAAACTGGCATACATTATATTCAGCTACCTCAGCTATTTTAAGGCTATACAAAATGGGCACTTGTAATTTGAAAATTTACATCTAGAATACATCATGATTCATGATCCGTATTACAAAAAATGTTGAGCTGGTGTATTGGTGTCTCCTTGGTATTTTCTTAACTGAGTCTTACTTTATGTGCAGATTGATGGATTTGAGCAGGAGAAGAAAGTTGTAGTTGTTGCTGCAACAAATAGGAAACAAGACCTTGATCCGGCTTTGATTAGGTATCTTGCTGAATATAATAATATATGTCATAAAGCCATTACTACTCTTTCTATAGTTACAGATTCTTTGATTCATTCCACAGCCGATTTGATGCCATGATTACCTTCCCTTTACCGGATCAGCAAACCCGCAAGGAAATAGGAGCACAGTATGCAAGACACTTGACAGAAGCAGAACTATTTGAATTTGCCAAAGCCACTGAAGGGTAATAATGAAATAATAAATTACACCCTCTGTTACACAGTCGATGACTCTGCTTTGGGAATAACCCAAATGAAAAATGTACTCTCAACTGGTGCATGTTAAGGGTGAACAAAAAACCCACCAATCGAACTGGTTGAGCCCAATCTAACCATGTGCAATATGGTTACCTGTTTATGATTTAGGCACTGAATACTGAATGAAGCAACAAAAAATTACTGAAATTGATCTAAACCGACCGAAATTGACTTGGGTTATTTGGTTGGATACTAAATGGTACATTTACTGGTTTAGGCTTTGAAAGCTGAGAGTGAAATTGACCAAACCTGACCGAATCCTTGTAATTGACTTGGGTTATTAGGTTTTGCATGTTTGAAAACCAAACTTACCAAAATTGGAACAACTTAAATTGCTCAAAGAACACTCCTATGCATATAGTGCTAGTAACCGAAAGTCATAAAGGCAGGGGGGAAATAAAGAATCGACTTATTATTTGTTTGTTTTTTCTGCTCAGCTGCTCTTGCATCACAAAACTGAAAACCAACTCAAACTGGTTAATGAACACCCGTCTATTCTTATTTATCAAATTTCATAATTCTTCTTATTTTTTTGCTTACACTGCTTGGATTCTTTATATACTCAGATTTTCGGGGAGGGATATCAGGGATGTATGCCAGCAAGCAGAGAGGCATTGGGCGTCAAAGGTATCGTTTGGTCATTCATTTATAAGAGAAGTTGTACCTTATCATCATAAATTAAAGTAGATATACTTGGATCAAAGACTCTGTTTTGTGACGTAATAAGTACTCATACTTGCTGACGCCTAAACTGATTTCGTACATGGCATGACAGATAATAAGAGCTCAAACTCAGAAAGAAGAGCAATGCCCACTGCCGCCTCTTCTAGAATATGTTGAGAGTGCCATGACCAGGCAAAGAGCTTTACTTAGTTTAGCACACCAAAGCTCGCAAACAGTGGTGCCGGGGAGGAAACCTCAGTTTGATTTTGTGTAATCATTTTTATCATAAGAAAGAAAAATAACAGTTGCACACAGCCACACACATTTTATCGCAACATTCCAGTGTAGTAAGGCTCTGTAACTCCGTACATATGTTTATTACAGTATTTTTAATGGTTATTATACGAAGTAAGTTTTAATTTTAATTGCACTCTAACATATTAGTCAAACACAAGGCACATTGCTTCCACCACATTGCAATAGAAGAATCTAATACTTACACTTGGCTGGGAATCCGGGATTAGTTTTCTGTTATTTGCATGTTTAGCGTTTAACATTAAAAAACTGCTAAATGGATAAGGGGTATCAGAACTATCAGATGCTAAAATAATACAACGTGAGACAAGTTCAGTTAACATATAAAAAACGGAAGGCCATTTGAGATTAGGAGTCACTCCTGTTCAGCTCCATCCTATCTTTTTACTTCAAAATCTGGACTAGAATCAACGGATAAAGTATGTACTCCCTCTGTCCCTAAATTCTGTTCCATAGGACAAAATTACAAATTGCACGGGGATTAAAATAGTAGGTATCGTGTGATGGAGAGTTATGCGAAAAAGAGAGAAATGCGTAAGAATTGCTGTGAATGACAAGTTCTTTACCAAAAAAGGAAAGTGGTAACTAGTTTCCCAAAAAATCTATAACAGTAACTAGGGATGGACTCGGGTCTGGGCCGGGCCTAGGCCCGGGCGGGCCGGCGGGTCAGAAATGGTGGACCCGGGACCGGCCCGGGTAACCACCGGGTCCGGTTCGGGTCTGGGCCGGGTAACCACCGGGTCCGGGCCGGGTCCGGGCCGGGCCCATTATAATTTTTTTTTTGTTTTCCTCTTCCTAATTAACCCCCCTCCCACCCCCAACCCCCCAAACCACCCCAAATGGCCCAAAATACCCAGCCCAACCCAAAAATTTTAAAAAAATTGAAAAAAATAATTAGTTTTTGGCCTGAACCGGGCCCGGGCCCGGCCGGGTCAGGCCTTGTTTTGGGTGACCCGAGCCCAGACCGGAAAACCCACGGGCCGGGCCTACCCGGACCGGTCACTGACCGGGCCACCGGGTCGAGCCGGGCCGGAACAGTACCGGTCCCGGGCCGGTTCCGGGTCGGGCCACCCGGCCCGAGTCCATCCATAATAGTAACTAACACAATGCAAGAACTATGCGCTTAGTTCTAGGGAATGATATGGACCACATCTTTCTTTCCCAAAGTACAAATACAAAGTAACTTATTGTTGCTTTTTATTACTCACTAATACAATTATGTACTCCCTCCGTCCCAATTTGATAGTCTCATTTCCTTTGGGCACAAGTTTTAATAAAGTGGTTGAAAAGGTAAAAGGTTTGGTAAAGATTTGAGTATAATAAAGTGAAATGATATGGATCACATCTTTCTTTCCAAAAAAGAAAACAAGACCATCATTTTGGGACATCTCAGAAAAGAAATATAGGACTATCATTTTGGGACAGATGGAGTATAATATATTCATGAAAAGAAAGAAGTTTCTGGGTCTGGAATTGAACCCAACACCTCTCACTAAGGAGAGACTTGGGGTGTGTGGTCATCCTTTGCTAAGCTCACCTTCCCCATTAGGCCTGCCTTTAACATCCTTTAGAATAGTAAAATGTTACTCCCTCCACTCTAAACTTTAATGATTTTTCTTATTTAGTTATCTCAATAATCAATATTCAATGTGTTTTATATTTTTTCATTTGGTTTTTTTAGTTGGAACACTTTCATTTTCACATTTATGAATGCATAATTTTGACCATTAAAATATTTAATTATGAGATTGTAAAAATATCAAAAATATCTTACACACTTTCACCCACATGTTATCATTCTGCATCTAAAAAATCCAGATTGGAGAGCATATAAAAGGAAAGAAGTTTCACTACATGCTAATTATTTCTCTTACAACAAGTTGCAGCTGGAGCTAGAGAAATGACATCGCGCGATAAGAAACCTTTCAAGTCCTCCAGCGGCAAGATAGGCGGTATCCGAACTCTTTCTGATTTGAATCGGCCGTCTAGTCACGACTCCGACAGCGACTCTGATGGTCCTCAAGAATACTACACTGGTGGTGAAAAGAGGCACACTTTCTCCAACCCTAACTCATTCTCTTTTTACAAATTCTGACATTGTCAGCTTTAATGGAATTGATGCAGTGATCTTGATTATCACTGTCTTTTAAATTGGGGATTAGTCTCGAAAATATGATCATTTTTGTAATTCCTTTGCGATGCTGTGTCTAATTTTAGTGTAACCTGGACTATATCATGAACTCTGGTAATTCCAGTGTCGTTATACTCGGTGCCAACCAAGAAATGGTTAGTTTTATGTTTAGATTGAAAGATTTTAACCGAAATTTGGTTAACCCAAATCTGTAGGTTCTAGATCTGGTTCTCAGCCCATTTGGATAGTTAATCTACAATTTTTGTTTACCAGAAAAAGCAAAAGCAGTACTATAACTCGGATGAATATACTAAAACCGTATCATCCTTTCTGATTCCTGATTGGAATTCTAGTTATGTTTTGCATTATACAGGATAGCAGTTTGAGAACTAAGAAACGTTTTACTGGAATTCGCCCTTTATAAATTTACTAGAACCGTATCATCCATTTTGATTGGGATTGTAGTTATGCTTTGCATTATAAAAGATATAACTTCGAGAACTAAGAAAAGTTTTACTGGAATAAGATGGCTTTTCTTTGTGGAATAAGGATTAGTTGCTTGAAGGGATCAGTAAGAATGACTACCTCAGTAAGAAGTGCAAAAAGACTGGAATGGGATTTCCATTTACACTCCATTTGATATCCAAATTATATTCTCTATTTAATTAAAGCCCAATTCTCTAATAATGTCTTATCTTGATTCTATAGTTTAGCTCCATCATTTCTTTTTTCTCCTCCATTTATTTATTTATTTATTTATTTATTTATTTATTTATTTATTTATTTATTTATTTATTTACTGACTTGCTTATTTATTCTTTATTTAATTATTTATTGAAACTCAATTTTAGTCCAAGGGTCACCATTCGTAAACATAATTCAGTTTCCAACATATATTCTTTTAGTAAATAAAAGTTACTAATGATGTCCTTTTTCCCCATTCACTCATAAGCGCACACACACAAGTATTTTCACTACCAAAACTGATTTATGCAAAAACACAACGATCTAAGTTTTGAACTCTTTTAGGCATCTTATACGTATTATACCTGATTGGATTATTAAATTATTTTAATTTGGGATTTTCTACTGAATGGAGTTTTAGACATTCAGAAGGGATTTTATTTGTTTTAGTGCTACTTTCCAACCTAAAACAATTGAATCTCGTGCATTTTATTGCAATATGCTAACATTGTGTTAGTGCTTTTATTTCCCTGTCATCTTGGTTGATGGTTTTGAAGTATTTGATGCTTAATAAAATAGTGTCAGCATGATAAGATGCGTGAATACCTTTTTATATGCAAATAATATAGGTAATACAAAGCGTATGAATTCATTGAAGATGATGTTGCTCATGTCTTGTTTTTTTATAGTGGAATGCTGGTTCAAGATCCTTCAAAGCGTAATGATGTAGATGCAATTTTTGATAAAGTTAGGCAGTTAGGAGCAACTCAAGGTTCTCTGGAGAACGTCCTCCCTTCTTCAAGCTCAACAAGATTCACTGGAATTGGGAGAACTCTAACAGGGGAACCAGCCCAACCGAATGCCCCTCAAGCACCTGAGTCAGTTGTGCACCATATTGTGTTTTGGAGAAATGGGTTTACAATAAATGGTGGTCCTTTGAGGAGGTTTGATGATCCTGAAAATGAGATTATTCTACAGGTAATATTTCATGGAATAGAAATAACATGTCGTTGGCTAGATAATTACGGAGTATGAAATAATATGGCATTGTGATTTAGGAGTGTTTGGGTCTGAACTACCAATCTGATCCTGACCCTTTAAGCAGAACCACATTTTGTAGTTTCCCGAAAGAGCTATAAAACCCCTAAGTAAAAAGTATTTACTGGGAACCAGGGGTGGAGACAAGGGGAGGCTGATGGGGGCCTCTGCCCCTGCAAGATTTTGTTTATGTATATATGTATGTATAAATATTTATAAGCACTAAAAAATAAAGAGAGTCATTCCCGTGAAAAGTAAGAACAAATGTGGAGCATCATATTTATGATCTAATGACTGAAGTGCATTAAAAGTGGATGAAAAACACAGTGACATTTTCATAAATTAATCAAAGTTTTCTTCCATGCAAAAGTGCACTTCCAGTATGTAATAGTGTACCGTATATATTTGAAAGTGGATAGCGAAAATCATCTAAATGCAATAGTGCTACTCAAATGGTTAAAAGTGGAGGCATTCACACTTTGTATCGGAAGACTATTTTTTATTGGAACCACAACCTATATATACATATGTCGAAAGGAAAAAAACACATACTATCCTCCGTTCCATAAAAGTTGCAACAGTTTGACTTTCACGTTTGCCAACGCGCAACTTTGACTGAAATTATATTTATTTGCGTATTAGTAAACATTAAAAAAAGTTAATATATTGGAAATTTACATTAATACAAATTATTAATATTTTATACATAATATTTTTATTATATACTCCGTATATTATTAGAAAATCGTAGTCCAAGTAAGGTGTGTGAATAGTGCAGAAATTCCAATGTTGCAACTTTTATGGAACGGAGGAAGTATTACATATATGAAAAGAGATCTTCGTATGATAAATGAGAATAATCTTGAGCTTTAGACCTTTAGTCACACTTGGGAATGGATGGATGAGATGAATTTTTATCAAAACATTGGCAAAATAATGTGTAAATGTTTATAATACAAAGTGGATTATTTGTAGATAAAATTGCATTATGAGTGTGAACAAAGATTACCATATTTTTTAAGTTATGCATATTTTATTTTGATGTGCATATACACTTCTTCTATATTATGGTAGTATGGTACATATTTTGTAATCTTATGCACTATTCTGGTGTACATATACACTTTTTGTATATTCTGATACACATTTATTACATTATTTTCATTTAATGTTATTCGTAATTACTACAGTGTTTCTTAAAATTTATCTCTTCTATTCATTTTTCACATCAATTACCAAAATTAGTATTTTATTTTCATTTAGGAAGTACTTTTTTATTTAAATCAAAATAATTTCCTTTTCATACAAATAAAGCACTGCCAAGAAATTCAAAAAAATTACTTGCACATAAAGCATTGTCATTTTTTATCCTAAAAGAATGACAATTAAATTCTACACAACGCACCATTACTATTTAGATCGCTTAGGGTCATTTCACTTATTTGTGCTTCACAACAAACACTTTTTTTGTAATTTTGCATTTTACTTGACCTTGATTCTTGTGTCACGTGTGCTTACCAATTCACTTTTGTCGCATGATAATGAGCTTACTAGTTCAGTGGTATACTTATGTCCTGTACTCCTGTCTATCTAATTTGGTTGCAGCAGTTGCAAATTTGCAATATGCAACATGGATCAACTTGGAACTTCATTTTTCATGTCATTTGTAACAATCAATATTGTTGATTGTTGACAATGTTTTATGCATAGGATATATATACTCCGTAGTAAAAATGATCTTATTTGCAGAGTATTCAAAAGTCTGAGTGTCCTAAGGAACTGGAACCTGCTGATAAGAGGACCGTTGTCCATCTCAATCTCATTAAGAGGGAGAATAATTGTCCTGTAAGTAACTCAGTGAGTACCACCATTTCTACCTTTTAGATTTCTACAAACCTTTTTTCTTTTCTGAAATTAGGAAAAACTTCCAGAGGTTCATCATTAATTCTGTTGTCGACTTCAATAGTACTGTTAATGAATACTCATGGTTTCAACTTCCAACTCATAATTCACGTAAAAAAATCTCTCCTGCTGAGAAAAAATGCATTACCCACCTATCACCCCAACACAGATAAAATAACTTTGCTCTCTATCCCATAAGGAGTCCTGTTTGGCAAGGTAAACTGTTAAAAGTCATGAATTCTACGTATACCTATGAAATGTACGGAGTATATTTTTTGGTTTAACTAAAACTACAGTGATGAGCTTGTATAATTTTTTTGTCCAGCAACTGTATCATCTAAAAAAAGATGATCCAGAATCTATCTTCTTCCTTTTGTCTTTGCTTAATAAATCATTAGAGCATCATAATGTCATATTTCTCTCTCTAATTAACCTGCTTGCTGCAGGAACCCGAGACGCACGACAATGTTCCATTTCAGGGCATAGGAAGAACTCTGGGTGGCAGCTCAAGCCAGGCACCTAGTGAGCCGACTGCCCTTGACACTGCTCCATCACCTTCAACGGGCTTAGTAATTGACGAATCATTGCCTTCAACATCAGTTCAGCTTAGATTGGCCGATGGGACCCGCATGGTGGCTCGTTTCAACAATCATCACACCGTCGGTGACATACGTGCCTTCATAGATGGATCCAGGCCTGGTGTTAGCCAGTCATATCAGCTGCACACTGGTTTCCCCCCCAAAATTTTGAGTGACACCACCCAAACCATAGACGAAGCTGGACTGCTAAATTCTGTGATCATACAGAAGTAATTATCATCAGTTGCGGAAACCGGAGGCTTGTGTTTTTTATTGCATCCAACTTTATATGTATATGCCTATATTTACATGTACAAACAAGCAAGGGTAAAAATTACTCTGACTTCTGGGGAAGATCAGCTTGTTGATTTGTTATGCATGTGATATTCGTGTAAACCGAAGAACCCTTCATTTTGGGTATCCAATGCACTATTTATCCTTCAAAAAGTTTAACCAGTCATGCTTATAAATGGGCTGTCACTCTGTCAGGCTAGGCATGGACCCAACCGGGCTGAACCGGCCCGGAACGGGACCGGCCTGCTACTGTGCCCGGATGGCCGGTTCAGGGCTTTAGCCCGGTTTGGGTGGTTCGGGCCGGGCCCGGTTCAATTTTTTTTCAATTTTTTTTCTTTTCCTTGGGTAGGGCTGGGTGTTTTGGGGGTGGGGGTGAGGGAGGGGTCGGGGGTTAATTAGAAAGCCAAAAAAAATTACATAGAACCGGGCCCGGCCCGGTTTGGCCCGGGCCCGGTATCAACCCGGGCCGGTTCTGGGCCCAACATTCCAAAAAAAAGCCCGCCTGGGCCTAGTCCCGGCCCGGGTCTACCCCTATGTCAGGCCCAAAAGTAGATAGAATTAGCAAATACCTCGTAGTTTGGACTCCAGAGTACAAACAAACGAACCTAGAGTCCATTGTTTTTTTTGTATGATTTTGAGTTTTGAAAAAAGGTTCGGACTTTGGACCCATCTTGATTACACCAAATTTCTATCACATATTAGGCATGCTCATTTTTAATTGTTTAATCCCTTCCAGAAATTAAACTAGGATTTAATTCTAGGTAGGGTCAGCCTAGGTATACTGTATAGGGACATACGAGCTCGATATTGTTTAGGCCCGGGCCCAATATTGTTTACACCTGGCCCGGCCCATTACTGTATAGGTCCTGCCTGGACCGTTACTGTATAGGCCTGGTCTTGGCCCGGGGCCGGTGGCTATAAAGGCGGGCTTCGGGCTTTATTTTCTGGGTCCAGGTCTGACCAGATTGCACTATTTTTCTAATTGAATGCCCAGTCCAAGTCCTGGCCCGGCCCATTGTTGTTTGGGTCCGGTCCGATCCGCTCCCGGTACAAACCTGGACGGGTACCGGGCTTGAAATACTTAAGCTCGAAGTCCGTTCAGTCCCGAAGCCCGACCCGGTCCAGTCCCAGTCCATCCCTAGGTCGGACCCGCTCTAGTCTGGGTAAGGAGGAATCAGCAATAGTCCATTCTGGTTCTATGTTAGATGAATTGGAATTGATTTTCACTGGTTCGCGGGTTTTGGTCCAAAATTGTAGAATGAGTGATGCTTCAATTTCTTTAAAAGCATACTTGAGGACTATGCCAACAACACTTCCTTATTACATTTTTTTTTGTTTATGTAATCCATGTTATTGTAGATTTGTAGATACTCTACTACACACCTACAAGTATAATGCAAGGGTGTTTATTTGGATACCCAACAGTTTGAGAAAATAGAACTACACAAGCTGTCTGTTGTCCTATCTATTTCAAGGCGCAATGGCAATAGCTTATTGTGGACTTCTTTTATAATACTCTCTCCGTCCATGATACGTTCGTAATTTCCATATTTATGTTTATGTTTTTAATTAGTTTTGCTTGACTTTTACTTTGGAAATTACACACTTTTGGTGTAATAGATTAGATTGTTAAATTCTTGTAAATAGGTTAGATTAGATATATTCTGAACTCAAGCAGGTTTTGGTCACTCGAAGTACAGTTGGTGAACCCAAAAAGTGAAAAGAAGGTGCAAAAGTTCAAAGACAAAAGAAGATCCTGAAATTTGGTCTATACTCGGTCGAGTATTAGCTATACTCGATCGGGTATTAGGTTGGAACTTCAAATCAGATCAGATCCGAAGACAAGGGAACATGCAGGGAAGATTTCGGCCACGATTTTATGTCTATACCCGATCGGGTAGACCGACATACCCGATCGGGTATGTCTTTGAATTTCAAACGAAGATCGGTCGAGTATGGTTCGAATACCATTTTCTAAGCATACTCGACCGGGTATTCATATATACTCGATCGGGTATACTCTTAGAAAATAGCCTGAAACCGGTCGAGTATGCCTCGGATCGAGTGTTACACACGTACTCGATCGGGTACCATGTATATACCCGATCGAGTACCCGAACCCCATCCCAAAAACCTATAAATACACCTCTTTTCCTTCACAAAAAGATATCCAATCCCTTTGTACATCTAAGCTCAGTATAGAATAGCTCTTTCTTTATATTTTTTATCATGTTTAGTCTCCAAATGAGGAGCTAAACTCTTCAATCTTGGTTTTGCTACTTTGAAGCTTAATGAATTTGTAAGTTGTGAGTTATTTTCTTTAATCTTCTTCCTTGAATATTAATTCTTTCTTTCAAAATACTATCTCTATATAAAAGTTGGGGAGTGTTACTAAGATGACAATTAGTTAACATCTTGACATTGGTTATAGTAATAGCTATTTCTTCCTCTATGATAATATTGGGGAGTGTTACTAAGATGACAATTAGTTAACATCTTGATATTAATCATAGTAGGATTCATATATTTTAATATTCTTCCTTGAGTATTAATTAATTCCTATTCATATTTCATGTTAATATCTTAAACATTACTTAAAGTATCAACTAGTATTGTTTCTCATATTAATTATTACTAGAATCAATCGGTTAATACGCTTGTTATTAATCCGGTTCTTTCAAAGGTAGTAAACTTGGAATATTAATGCATGCATCTCATGGTTAATATGCCAAGGGGAATTAATTATATTGATTAAACCAATAAACCGCTTGTGTTGAGGTTATCAATCTCAATCGTTTTCATCTTAAGTTTATTGCTACTATCAAGTTAATATACGACGCTTGTTCTATATTGACTCGATAGTAAGTTTTATTAATGAACGCATCTCGTTATTAATAACTACCCTCGATGAACTGGATATACTCCTCGATTGAGTATTCGAGAGGAAGATAGTTAAAGATATAACCGGGATCGACGAACATTTCATTAAGTGGATAAAAGCAAAACCAAGTCTTCATCTTTTTGAACTAAACTCATATAGGTCGTTTATCTTAGTGTTATTAAACCAAACAAATCTAAACCCTCTTGTTACCATTTATATAAAAGAAAAGTATTCCTTTCCCTGTGGATACGAACCTTACTACACTATACTACGTATTAGTGTCGTATTGATTAATTATTTTGAGTGCACCTAACGACGAGTGCACGTCAGTCCCATTAGAAGGTTCTCACTTTCGTTTATTGGATGTCCCATATAAAGGTTCTCATTTTTATTTCAGGAAACAATTAACAATTTTAAGTGACAAATTAATCGTTACATACTAAAAAGGGAGATTTACCTAAATAAGACTAAATAAAAGGATAATTGCAACAATAGGAGTTTAAAGTTTAAATTCGCAAAATAGGACTAACTCTCCCTATTCTACCCTTTCTTTTGTCCTTCCCAATAGGATTTTTTAAACAATTATTATAAAAGAAATTTAAAATTATAAAAAATTATAATAAAAAATATAAAAAATATACAAAAAACAAAAATATACAGACCTCAACCACCTTCGAGCACCGTCACCTCCGATCGCCGGAAAAGATTGCCAAGTTGAGGGGAAAATGTCATAATGATGATAATTTTGAAGAGAAAGTTGGATATTTTCAAAGAGTAAAAATGCCATCTTGATGGCATTTTTAGAGAAATGCGGCATTTTTTTACACAAGATGGCATTTTTTCCGATGACCGGAACTGGTGGTGCTAGGAGGTAGAGGACGCGTTGGCAGTGACATACATATTTTTAAATAGTTTTAGGTATTTTATTTTACTTTTTAGACTTTTTTAAAGTTATTTAAATATTTTATTTTTTTAATTTTTTAATTTTTGATTTATTTTTTCACATTTTTATTATTAATTTATAAATATTTTATTATTTTTATATTTTTATTAAAAATAAAACTATGATTTTCTTATTAATAAAATAAATCTATTGGAAAGTATAGGAAGAGGGTAGAATGGGAAGAAAGGACATATATTAGTTCTCTTTTGGGAATAAAGGGATTGTACTCCTATTGTTGAGTTTTTGGCTAATTTTACTCTTATTAAGGGCTAATACCCGTATTAAAAATAATACATTTATAATATAACAGTTATTAATACTAACTACATTAAAATATATACCTATTAAAATTATTTCTCAAAATATACTTGAAGTACTTTATTTAATTATTGCCTAAATAATTGTGCTGTTTTGGTATGAGAACCTACCAACGAGACGGGGGTAGTACCGTAGTAATAAATTGTAGAGTATTAATCATTCCTCTTTGAACAAAGATGCATAATAAAAATCATTAATTTTCTATTTTTTTCTTTCACCTATCTAACATTACAAGTTAGTGAAAGCTATAAAAAACATATTCACAATTTCAAACCATAACATTTAATAAAAATATTAAAGCACATAACCGAATTTGGAAAAACACATTGATAATTCACACATCAATTCAACAATATTATAAATAATAAAAAGTACTGTTGGGATAATGGGCCAGGCCCAGTGCCGACGGCCCGATATCCCTGAGCTTGGGTGCAACAAGGTCCGGGACGCGGTCTCACGAGTCGGAATCAACCTTCGCTCATTTCCTTATTTGTCGGGCCGGTTCGCCCATTAGTGGGAAGATGTACTATTAATTTGGGCCAAGCTCACATAAATTAGATTTTAGGCTTATGATGGATGCTTATAAATAGGCCATCAATCCCCATGTATGGGCTACGTTACTTTTACTATATCAAAGTGATGCCGTTTTCTCTTTCAAACTATTTTCTACCAACAAGTACAATACGTGTAAAAAAAAATAGGGGCAAAAAAGCGCAACTTACTACGATGCATACAGTTTTACACACTTTTAGTCTAATCTGAAGGCGCTTTGTCCTTGTAAAATCGGAAGATTAAAATGTAAGGCCCTTAGAAAATCAATAAATCCCCTAGTAATTCATAAGGCTCAACTTTGATTTTTGAATAAATTGAAATTCAGTTCTAACGAGTATGAATATACGACTAAAATGCTTCTTTGGATTTCCAAAACAGGCTGAATAGGAGCAGTTCTGGGCCAAAAAAATAAACCTACTTACTAGTCACGAAAGGAGAGAATTTTGGGTCGAAGATTAATTTAATTTTTTGGGCCTATGGCCCTTTGTCCCA